CTACACTAATGGAGCTACAGTGATTCGTCTGTGTCCACACTGCCTAACAGTATCTGCAGATGCTTCGTCTGTGCTGCTTCAGCTCTAGGCTGCCAAATGGTCTTATAATCTATAAGGTGTTTGTCTTGTATAGGTTGTTTACGCACAAAAAGTAATATATCATTAAATTCACAATTAAAAAAAAAATCCCTATACCTGCTGTTGAAACAATAGTAGTAAAGATACAGTGAAGTATTAAACTGAGCTGCGAGTGCAGATATTTTGGTTTACATTAAAGGAATGTATGACGAGTCCCAGACTCGACACATGGAGAGAGCCCGTCAATGTACCCTAGTCCCCAGCGTGAATGTGTAGTAGTTCAGTAGGACTCCCCCAGGTTCCCTCCCTTCTGTTTTCTTTTCTAAATCTACTTTACATTCCTGTGCACAACCGATGTCTTGTAGCGCTGCGTTGTGTTGATGAAAGCTGAACGTGTACCTGCAAAGGCTGTAAGTCTGCTTCGCTACTGTTGTTCCCACTATTACTTTCTGTATCGCCGAATACTGGCGGCAAAATTCCAATAAAAAGAGCAAGAGATGCACCTCACCTCACCCGTTTCCTGCTTCCTTGTAAAATCCTGCTTAATAAATGATTTAACAGTGAGTTCACCACTTGTTGTCCCCTGTGGCAGTGCTGAAATACATGTTCAGGTCCAAGTCAGAAGCTCTATGTTAAAGCTTTTTCATGTGCTCTTATTTCTTTGTCTCCTTTTAATGAAGAGGTTTCATTGTGTTGATTATTGTCATCATGTGGCATTACAGATAAAATCTGTCAGTTTACCAAAAGAAATCAATTTTGTTTTCCCTTAGTTCCATAAAAAAAACAACTTAGTGAATATGTGACCTTTTATAATCGGTGTTAAAAAGGGCTCAGGTTGAGTCATCGATGAGTGGGTAACCAAAATGAATCCTTAAAGGTTTTTATCGGCCAAAGAGTCTCTGCCTCCCCTGCACCTTCTACAATGTGATCAACTGCAGCTTTTCCTGGTTTTTGTCAGATTTTTTTTTAAACCAAAAATAAGGCCATTCAAATGTTCTCCAGCTTGACCAGATGCAACATTTAAGCTTACAAAGTATGACATTGATTTAATAATACATAATGATATACCACTCGTAATGAGGTCCAGGTGACTATCCTTATTGCTGTTTATGCTTAGTTCTGAAGGAAGGACTTCAACTTTCCCAGTATTTTTACATCGTGATGTTAATGGATCCAAGTTCTTTTTCCACCGTGGGTACTGTTCAGCTGTAAGGTTTCTGCTTGTGAATGCTAAACCATGGAGAATGGTGCACCAAACAACTCTCTGCTGCCACTGTGCAGGCCAAGTCTGGTTCTTCTGTTACCTGTGCTGCAGGTGCCAAAAGAAACTGAGCGGATGTGTGTCTATTAAACCTGGTCTCGTTAACAGTGTTGGGAGTTCTCAGTTATGCTTGGATACAGCTGCACAAAACAGCCATTGTTGCTGTGTGATTAGAGCTACCACACAGGCACACGTATAATTAGGTCATGTTTCCGACGCTGCTCGGTGCCTGTCGGCGTGCAGGCCTCTGGTGGAGGTGTCTCTCTGACATGGAGGAGTGTGAGAAGGAAGGTGGGAATGCCTAATAGCAGGGTGGATGGTGATAGAGGAGGTGAGGAATGTGTCTGACAAATACAGCTCTGATCTCTTGAGCAGTAGGAAGCCTGCGGACAAGCCTTACACAGATCTGGCTGGCTCAGCTGGTGGTGAACTGACCTGAGTGAAGTCATTTCCAGCAGGCTTCAAATTAAGGGATATGTGGGGGTGTGTTTGTGGAGAATTAAAACAAATCGTGTCCTCTGTGAGAAAGTAGACACTGAAAAAAAAGATTGGTGTTTCCTACTTCCTGTGTGTGAACAACATGACAAATCTTCATCCTGTGAGGAGTCAGAACCTGCAGAATTTCAAACCTGATGAGGCCACCTTAAAGTTTTAATGACACAACCAGAAAAACCCAGGGTGTCTTATGTTTCATGTCATGTATGAAACTGCATTTCTACGGTGTCAGACTTAGGTAGTTATATATAGTTCATTCTTTATTTTACATGGCTGGATTGGAGCTATTGGTGTCTGCACACAAGTGGAACCAGCAAAGAAAAAATAAAAATAAATCAGGAAAATCCCAGCTGGTGTGGGCACAAACCAGAAAACATTTCAGCCTTTTCATGGTTTAGTGAACAAAGTGAGAACTTTAAGAACAAGGTGAAACATTGACAGGTGTGTTTATTGATGCCGGTGCTTGGCTTTCTTCTTTATGTTTTATAAACAGAAAAAAATCAACTCAAGGTCGACTTACTAGGTTTTTACTGCTTTTGTCATGGGTAGATGTTAACATGACATAGGAAAGCTATGTCATAATCAAAAGCCAGGATTATGGTTTCATCCAATTTCTGACTTCTTGCCTAAACTGGTGCAAAGATTAAGTATAAAAGTTAATTCTTGACTTTGGAAAACACAGTTCGGCGAAACAATCCCAACTCTAAGCCCAAGGCTTTTTCCTGTGCTTTCAACCATATCATGAAAGGGAAATACTGTAATGATAAGCTGAGAGATGAGGAAGAGCCAAATGACAACATTACAAAAGAAAAAACACCAGTTATTAAGCATAGTTGCACTGAGTCAAACATAAAACGAACATTTACCACTTAAGGAGTAGTGGTAGTAGTAGTACAATACATGTCCTGGATATTGTGAGAGAGCATTACCACAGTTCAGCGGTTAAGTGACACTGACTAACTATTACTTAGTATGCGTCAGCTGATACTTCAGTGGCCACAGCAAGAGTGAGTAGCCACGATGAAAACTCCAGGATGATCCTCATGCTGCCACAAAAGCCCTAATCAAAGATTGCAACAGCCTCACAGAAGTGAAGCCATTTTTTTTACAACAGCAGTTTACGAGCAAACCTGGAAATGATGCTTTTATTAATCTGTAGAAAAACACAGCAGGCAGTGCGAAGCAGTGATGGTGCAGAAGATGATCGGTCAGCAGCCCAGAGAGACAGGCAGGAGCCTGACAGCACACCACCCTCAGTCTGCTCCACAGCAGCGTGGGCTGACGTCTGCCACAGACTCCACACTCTGACATCACATAGGCCGGGTCCTGGAGCAGTGCATCCCCCTCTGCCTCCCCCCACAGTGTTCATTTGTGATTCAGTGACATCACTTCCCTCCCAACGGCAACAAATGGCAGAGTTATTGGGAGAGTCCGCGGGAGGAGGGGGCGTGTCTGAGTCAAGCCCGTGGAATCCATGATATACTGCAGCGGGCTTTGTGCTGGAGAGGGGAAAACCAGCTATGTCATCCCTAATAGGCTTTGTTTACTCCGGCCTGAAGAACATCTTTGTTTGGTTTATTATCGTTCTCTTCCTGATGTATCTGCTCCTTCTTTCAAGACCATGAACTCATACAGATAAAAAAAAAACCACCACCCAGATCCCAGCAGAGCCTTGTCAGTGCCATGTCTCCAGAGCAGCATCAGGTCTCCTTTGTTGGAGGAGGAAACATCATTCTTCCAAAACAGGTCCCATGTTGTGTCCAGCACAATTCGTTGTCCTTTGTCAGCCGTTCAGTAACCTAGAGCTGTAACCGTTACTCAGTTCACCGAGTTCAACTAAGCTTAAGTCACAGTGGACATTTTTGCCAGTGTTTGACATTCTGACAATAAAAAGATCAATCAGATCATCAAGACAACAACCAGCTGATGAATCAGTGACCCCTGTGTTTTTATTTCCTTTCATTCATGGCCTGGTTTGTAGGTGTGAGCGGTTAATGAGCCGAGCAGCTGAATCATGGAGGTGGGTCTGAGGTCATGCTGGATGACCTGCTATACTGCAGCAGAACAATGAGGTACTTCCACAGTTTCTGACATAAATGCTCATTTATTTTCTCCTGGAACTTGTGATTGATTGTTTTAAGGCGGAGGTTGTGAACTTGCTGTCCAAAAAACTCATGATCCAAGTGTCAAACTCAAAACATTTTTAAAGTGGAAAATTTGATCATTCACATCTTTTTGCAGATTGAAAAACCTTGGAGTGTTTTGTATTTTTACTCAGTTTCCAAGTTTCTTACTGCATCTATGAAATCAGGGAGTGTTGAAGTCATTTTACATGACACAGTTCCACCTCCTGCACCTTGTAATGGGCTTACGGGTTTTTTGTTATTGAGCTAGTCGTTTCTTCTTCCTGTTACGTCAAGAACTCAGGTTCCCGGCTGCTTTGGTCTCATATGCTCTTAAAACCCTGCGAGCTCAAGTACTTAACACATGTTCCCAAATGTGGTGAACAGGTGAACAGTTATCCAGGACCTAGAGTTGTTTGCATCTATTCTCATTTTAGCTCTTTCACTTATTTTAACAGTTTCTCCCATCATTACGCTCTCCACTGTATATTAGCCATTTATTTACATATGTAGCTACTTTAAAAGTTTGCCCATTACTTTCAACTGTCTATTTAAATCATGTAACCGTTGTTTTTATTTATTCCTTAACAGTTCTGTTTATGCATTAATTTAGTCATTTTAACATCTTTCAACTCATAATTTCTTCTGTTTATCTAATAATGGTATCAGTTTTTTATTTGTTAGCTAGATGAACCATCTCAACAGTCACTGTCCAATGCGTATAGCAATTTGAGCTGTTTATTCATTCTATTTATTCTGGTTTATCTGTGTTAACCATGTATCCATTTCTTCTCCCCAACATTAACTGCCCAGACTTGCTTTCTGAGTAGTTTTCTACACTCTGTGTGGATCTATCTTTACAATCAGATCACAGTTTATATTTTTTTCAAATGAGTTATCCACAAATTACACCCTAGGGCAGCAGTGTCTGTTGGGAATCACTGATAAAACCATGGATTACATTAGAGGATGTTTTTGCTGATGTCATGGTAACAGAAGCTGTGGTGGACTTCCTT